GGCAGAGAGAGAGTCCGAAAAAGCTGTACCAGTTTGGAAGCACAAACTAATGTGTGCATGAACAATAGTATCCGGATGGCAGAGAGAGAGTCCGAGAAAGCTGTACCAGGTAATTATTTCAGAATTTAGTCACGAGTTGGGGATCTTGTAAAAGGTGCATTAATCACTAATATTTGCATAAGCGTGGTAAGGAAATCTACAACAAAATAACAGAGTAAGTATACGATAATGAATGCTAAGCTCCACATTTTGGATACCTGATTGAATTCAACTCAAAAATATAGATGAAATATTATATATTCCATTCTTTTTGTGGCATTTCCAAAGCACCAGGCAAAATAAAGAGACCCACCTCCCATTTAAGCACCAACGGCCGACTGCAAACATCTGCACAATTTCATATAAAAAAGTCAAGCAAATAAAATTATATAATAAGCAAAATCAAATCCCAGTGCTTTAAAAAATATAATCATTGGTAATCTTCAGAGAAGGCATGGCCTCGTTAACATTCTGGTCGAGCCGATGATACTCCACTGTTTTGGAACAAAAGCCATCACGCCATTTCCTGCTTTGAACCAGAAGGAAAATCTGGAATACAAGAAAATCAATTTGTTACGCAAAGGGTGAAATGAAGGACCCAGGAGAAGTGTCCTAACAATCAAAATAGCTCCCTCCTTTGCTCCCAAATACAAAGAGCAAAATCTCAACAACAAAAAGGCTCTTTTGCTTTCCGCCTCGTCAAGACGGCTAGATGGTGCCCCTCAAATGTGTGTCCAGAAGGAACGCATGTTCCAGACTGATTCCCACAGGATGAGCCAGTGGACTGCAGGGGGATCCACCTGTCTAACAAATCTCTTAGGTGTTTAGGAGAGGGTCCAGTCCTAACCCCTGGGATAAAATATCACTGCCATGCCATGCCATGCCAAATGTTGTCCACTGACCTCACGCTACAAAAAAAAAAAAAGGATTTTACTCAAAATCACAACCAAATGATTAGCTGTACTGACTCTCAAAGATAAAGGGCATGTTGAAATTATCTAGTCCAGTCATGCCATTTCTCAGGTATGAAAATCAAGGTCCATGAAAATAGTAATAATTTATCAAGGGTTCATGCAGGTGGGAGAGTGGGGGAGGGAGGGGGAGGAGCTGATACCAAGGGCTCAAGTAGAAAGAAAATGTTTTGAGAATGATGATGGCAACACATGTACAAATGTGCCGGACACAATGGCTGGATGGCTGGATTGTGAGACCAACTGTCAGAACCCCCATAAGGCGAAAACAAGAAAGAAATCAAGGCCCGAAGGAGGTGACTTTCCAAAAATAGCAACACCATTTACAGTCGAGAACTGAGATTTCTTTTTTTTTTTAACCATTTTATT